AGAATTTTGATATACCTTACAAGACATTTTTATAACGTACGAAATGCGACGGTTTTCCCGAAATTTCGCCATATTTTCGGACCGCCAAAATTTCGGTCGTCGTAATAGAATTCGTCGCATTATTTTTAGCTTATTCCAATAATTGTGGCTTCATCGATTCATTTTGTTCTTGAAAAGTTAGTGATATGATGGTGGGACAAATAAAGACACAATATTCCATGATGAATTTAATGTCAAGTAATACGTTTTAAATTTACAATAAATTACATTTATGTGCTAACATAAACGTCTTATAACTATAAGAGACTAAGTCAAGATAAACAATTTAATACCAAACTCAATAAGTGAAACTGAAAGAGTCGAGCCGGACCCCTTAGAGGAAGATGAAGAAATCGATTTATAAGTTTCATTTTGTTTCAACATGATTTTACCGATTTTTAGAAAAGTTTGAATTTCCTTTAGCTTTGTGTCAGAAAACAAAATGATGAAAAATACCCTTATTTTCTGTAACGTCCGAAATGTGACGGTTTTTGTTCAATTTCGCCATATTTTCGGACCGCCAAAATTTCGGTCGTCGCAAATTGGTCCGCCACAAAAATGTCTTGTAAGGTAGGCTTCTTTTTAAATTTTACGCCTGGAAAAAACGTAATAAAACCAGGTCCAAGATTTTCCACGAAACAACAGTATAGCAGTATAAAGTCGATTTCGAGAAAATTTCCACTAGGACCGCCAGATATCTTAGTTTTAAGATATCAATATTTTAATAATTTGATCTGTGTATATTATTTAATTTGAACTAAATTGTCCAAGTTTGCAAAGCTAAATGCTCACTGACTCTCTTCTTTAGGATAAAAGAACCATAATGAAGCAAAGAAGGCTGATATGGACCACTGTGTTTGGATTGCTCTGGTATTTCTTTAGCTTTACCACCCTTTTCTTGAACAAATACATTTTGTCAGAGAAGAATGTGGATCCACGCTTTCTTGCTGTATCTCAGGTGGGTCTTGCAGTCAAATATTGTTGATTCTTTATATCTGTTCTCTACTAAATGCCTTGCACAGCAGTGTTCGTTTCTTCACCGGCTGTGTACACTGTACAGTGTACACTGCTGAGTGCTGGAGTATATTACATTCACAACACAGTCCACTACTTCTCTACGCTCCATACACTTGGAACAATAGCTAACACGTGGACTACATTGTCCAATAACAAGCTAGCATATCACGTGATGTGACCTTGAATTATGCAATAAAAATGGGTTGAATAAAAGGGCACCACACGTGATAGGCTTGCTCAAACATATTCAAACTTGTGTTAAAGTCTGTGCCCAATATACTAATTAAAACTTGTAACTCACTACATCCCAGATGTTGCTCACTACAACAGTAGGGTTTGTACAGATTGGAATCCCTACATTACTCATGGGTATGCATGATTCTCAAAGATATTCCAGGAAGTTCTTACGGAATATGATTTTTGTTGGATTGATGAGGTAACCAGTTCATCAATCAGTAGCAATTAATTGATCTTATCCATTCATTGATAATCATCCAATATATAACTGTATAATGTCCAGTACTGAAGACTCCTCACTCATGACCTCTCTCTCTCTCTCTCTTAACTATACTTCATGAGGAGGCGTTGTTAAACAGTGACTCACTTGGCTTACTATTTCATTTTAAGGAATTCCGTGTTGGTAGAACGCTCTTCTTATCTAGTACCGTCTTTTATTGAGTGAAAATTAGTGTGCTTTTAATAACGAGCACTTTTTATCGATCATAAAGATTTACGCTTCCCATTTCTCTTTTCTGAACTCTTTAATTTGCCAGGTTTGTGACAGTGATATTAGGACTAGTGAGCCTAAAAGCGGTGGCGGCTTCTTTCGTAGAAACAGTCAAATCTTCAGCACCTCTATTCACAGTTGCAGCATCGTGGATATTGATAGGGGAGAAAACAGGTGTGTGTAATGTAGGAGAGATATTTTTAAACTATTTAAGGTATGTATGTAAGATGTGTTCAGTGATGTTAGTTACCGTATCCAGTGAAACAATCAAACAGCTGGTCTGTAAAAATAGTTAAAATTCAATAGAGACTAACTTTTTTCCCCATTTAAGGCCACAGGGGGGGGGGGGGGGGGGGTCCGAGGTCGATTTTGAGATTTTGAGATATGTTGTAGAGCTCGATCTAAATTTTCAAATGCTTTTGTCCTTACCGAAAACAAAGTTTCCTATTTGAAGATATCGCGCGTTGAATTTTGAGGTTTACCTGTAATTCTATTGTAAATGAAAACTTTAAATGAAATTGTGTTCAAAATCTATTTTCTTTTTCAGTTTATGACTTAGAACCTTGTAACTTGGCAACAATGTTCTTCAAGGTATTTTGAGTTTTTGTTATGTAACGATTTATGATATCTTGCTCCAAAGCTGAGATATGAGGTTAACCATGAGTGCGGGTTACAAAATTTAAAATGGTTAACCTCATAAAAAGAGTTAGGAGCAAAATTACAACAATCGTTACATAACAAACTTTTAAATTTATGTCAGGAACATAAGTTCCAAATTTGAGGTGAAAAGGATAAAAGCTCTAGGAGAAGATAGGTTTTTGAGGTGGTAAATAAACTGTTCAGGAGAGTCAAAAGACTGATTCTGAGAAAATATGTTAACCTAAATTTTTCACATTGGATGGCCAATTGATACCCATTGATAAGTTTGACTTGTGATGAGAGCAACAAAATGTTAAGAACTGGTTATTTGTGAGGTTAACTGATTAAAAAGGCAATAGTTAACCTCAATTTTACGACAAACTAGGCGCTCTGGGGGGCTAAGGGTGGTGTGCAAGCGTCAGATAGTACGTGGTCTGCCAACTGGCAAAAAACGTTTTTTCGACCTCGGACCCCCCCCCCCCCCCCTGTGGCCTTAATTAAGCACTTTGAAAACGAATTGTTGCAACAGCACCCGCCAAGTTACTCCATTAAGTTCTGATATGATTATTGTAGAGTTGTAACTATTACGCAGCACCACGAAATGTGTCCCACATAGTTGATTAAGGCTCACTTTGTTAGTTGTGCAATATTCTGAGCATGTGTGGTCCGAGTGAAATTAAATAATTAATAATCTAACAACTGAGCTCTCATATAATATTAATTAATGTATGTGACTTTTTAAAAGAATCTGACACGCTATTAATCAAATCTGAGATTTTAACTGCAGACATGATGTCTTTATGAATTAATCACTGTCACATGATACAAACACTAAACAGACCTGTGCCACCTCCCCACTGTGCCACCTCCCCACTGTGCCACCTCCCCACTGTGCCACCTCCCCACTGTGCCACCTCCCCACTGTGCCACCTCCCCACTGTGCCATCTCCCCACTGTGCCACCTCCCCACTGTGTCACCTCCCCACTTTGCCACCTCCCCACTGTGCCACCTCCCCACTGTGCCACCTCCCCACTGTGCCACCTCCCCACTGTGCCACCTCCCCACTGTGCCACCTCCCCACTGTGCCACCTCCCCACTGTGCCACCTCCCCACTGTGCCATCTCGCCACTTCTGCCTACGTCTTTAGTATAAGGGTTAATTAATTAACTTATTAACATTAAACATATTTCAGGTTTACTAGTGAACATGTCACTGCTCCCAATTATGAGCGGCTTAGCACTATGCTCAGCTACAGAACTAAGTTTCAATCTAATTGGGTTTTTAGCTGCTTTCTCTAACAACGTTATCGATTGGTAAGTTGGATATTTATAGTTGATAGTTGATATTCAATCAGGGGGGGGGGGGGGGGGGGGGGATCAGGTACTAAGTTCTGTTCGTGAGGTCGACTAACTACTAAGTGTGATTTTGGAATTTTGTCAAAAGACCCACCCACCCCCTTTGCGGTACGAGCTGTTTTTTAGGATAATAATTAAGACACCCACCCCCTTTTGGCGGCTTTTGTGGTACTAACTGCCCAGGTCAAGATTCATGCGAGATTGCGAGTTAGGCTCATTGCACAAAATTTGTAAATAAACACAGAACAAATTTAACAAGAAAATAAATAAGAAACAGAAAAAGTTTATTTTAAAAGTTGAGGGACACAATAATTAGAAACTTAACATGGCGTACAATCACGTGTATTTTATCACTCAAAACCCATTCCCAAAATTGCAATTTGAGGTAAAATGGGTTTTTTGGGGTTGGACACCCCCCTTAGTACCATGTACTAACTGTTTTTCTGGGAAATGTATCATGTACTAACTGTGTTTTGTAGGGCCTGTCGTGATATCATGGATCGCTTAGGTTCTGCCAGGATCTGGTACGTAGTCGTCATAGTTCTGCGGCCTCTACGTATCATCATCTCGCACAACTCTTTAAGAATCTTGTGAGTTTGGCAAGACGTGAAAATTTGCAGCCTTCCAGACATTGATTGGGTCAACGAGGTGTCGTACGTCACCTCAAGATCGGGTGACAGGGGGCTGACCAGGCCAAAACCCAATTGGGTATAAGATCACCTGATTATGAACCTGAGGTCACGTGGCTGTGACATCACCAGATCTTAAGGGGGCCGGGGGGCGGGGGGGGGGGGTCTTCATCGAAATTCTCTCGAAATCGACTTTATAGTTGTTTTTGATAAAGGGGAGTGATATCTATCAGCTGCTTTTGGTCCCATAGAAAAATAGTGTTCCTAGCCGAAATTATCGCCGGTCAGCGCTTATGTGTAATTGTATTGCGCAAGCGATTTTCAATTGCGTGTTCTGAAAATCGAGTCTAAAAATCTATCTTCTCCTACATTTATTGAGCAATCACCCTGAACCTTTCAGGATATGTTCTTAGGATCAGTTAGAAGAGAACTCTAGAGCCAGAAATTTGAGATAGGCCTTTAAAGATTTTTAATTCGATTTTAAAAATCTTGGACCTTGATTTCTAAGTCCAAGATTTTTAGGTTGGGGAGGCGGATTATCGTTGTAAAGTACTGCAGTACTACTCACGAAGTACTGTACACGATGTTTTCAACCCACGAGTCAGAGAGCAAGCTCAACTGACGGCTCCCAGATGGCGTATGCACATGTAGGTGAATCAGTCTGATCAAGAATTTGGTTGGGCTTTGATTGTATCGACCATGAGTACCAAGCAAGCAGATATTTGAATTGATTAGATTTCAACTGGTAAGATCACCAGATCTTGCTCTCCGAACTTGAGCTACTCGATCAGGCCTTATATAATGGAATAATATAGTGTATCGTGTGTAATTGGATCCCATTGTAGGAGCTGCGCAATTATTGCTCAATATTGATCAGGTATCACCTTCTGAAACCCAGCAGGCAGCTGGGCCAGAGATTTGAAAATAGAGGGAATTTTGTTAATGAACATCGAAGCGAAAATCATGTAACCCTATGTTTTCGAGGACGGCGAACACGATAAAACTGGTTATAATTATCATACTCAAGGGGAAATTGCTTTAAAATGCATGATTGTTATTATAAGCTAAGCGCCTGAGCGGTTTATCGGGTGGCACCAGTCTCTCAACGACGCCACTAGTTCTCAGCTTATAATCGGGCTTATGAAGGAAAGATCTCAAGTTCAGAAGACGAAAGAAATTTATCCAAATATTTGCATAAAATTAACGAATACAGATTTCAACCAATATCAAAAAGGACTACCAAGGATTGTATCGGGATTTCTATATCGGTATTTCAAGTCCTCATAGCGGTTTTAGGATGAACTAACGGTATTTTAGGATTGTGTTAGGGCTACTTACAGATAGGTTGACCCTCCTGTTATGAGAATGGTCCCCTCCCGTTGTACACTACTCTTTAACTTCTGCCTCAAATTTAAAGTTAACCTTACCTTTTACCTAGCATATGTAGTTAATATTACCTTGTATCTTACAATTAGAGTTAACTTGACGCTTACCTTTTACCTAGCATATTTAGTTAATATTACCTTGTATCTTACAATAAGAGTTAACTTTACCTTTTACCTAGCATATTTAGTTGATATTACATTGTTACATCTTATAATTTGAGTATCCATTAACTATGCCTATTTTTGGGATTTGGTAAAATATTAAACAGTATTGCTCCATGTCTATGAACCATGTAATGACCACAAAAAATACACGATTGCTAATAAAACAACGAAGCTCTGAAAGATAGCCTCAGTAATTATAGTGGTCGACCGGGGGCAAGATTCTGACCGGGGCCGGGGCCAGGGAGCCCCAATATAGCCGGGGCTGGGGCTGACCACTGACAATTGGCCGGGGCCGGGAAATCTTCCATTTTGCCGGGGCCGGGGCCGGGGGTAGTTTACCAAACTGAAGTCAGAAATTGATACATGAAAGTGATAATAATTTAGGCTTGTGTGATGCAATTGGGAAAGATGAAACTCAAGGTGCGGCTTATCCTCACCGACTTGATGATTAAACCGCAACTTCGTGCTGTGAACCAACTCAGGATAATCCTCATTATCCTGAGATCCATACTTAATTTCTAATCCTCAACTCGGAACTGAGGATAACCCTCAGCTGCTACTTTATCTGAACCTCGGGATTTAAAAGTAATCCCACATCCAAATATGGCTCGGTTCACAAAAATTTACCATAAATGTTAGGCTCTGTAGTTTACGTTGAGCCGTAGTTTTAGCTGCAGTGCAGTATTTTTACTTTCTAGTTTCTACGTATGTTTTATCGCAAATTTCTCGGAGACGATTAATTGAAAAGTCTGATCATACTGAGGAATAACCACGGTTTTTATGTTACTAGCCGTAGTCTAATTTAAGCCGTACGTTGTATTTTCTATATATTTAAACGTACTCAACGTAGACAATAAATTTTTCAACTTTGAAATCTCTTAATTACAAAATTACCATTAAATTGTGTTTGATTTTTTTTTCAAAAATGTGCCAAAATCATTCATGAAATCCCCGGCTGTGCCCCCGGCAAATGCATGGTTTTTGGCCGGGGCCGGGGTTAAATTTATTGGCCGGGGCCGGGGTTTACCCCCGGCGATTTGCCGAATTTTGGCCGGGGCCGGGAAGGGCCGGGGGTTGTGATTTTGGCCGGGGCCCCGGTCGACCACTGAGAGTTAAACTAACCTTTTACCTCGCATATTTAGTTAACATTACCTTGTATTTTACAATTATAGTTAACCTTACCTTTTACCTAGCATATTTAGTTAATATTACCTCGTATCTTACAATTAGAGTTAACCTTACCTTTTACCTAACATATTTAGTTTTAATATTACCTTGTATTTTACTATTTGAGTTACCATTAACTTGTGCCTTACATTTAGAGTTAACATTACATTATACCTTACATCTAGAGTTAATATTACATTATACCTTTCATCTAGAGTTAACGTTACATTATACCTTTCATCTAGAGTTAACATTACATTATAAGATTATACCTCTCATATAGAGTTAACGTTACATTAAACCTATCATCTAGAGTTAACGTTACAATTTACATCACACCTTACATCTAGACTATCTCCACCGCTATCGGTTCCGTAGGTAGTAAATGCAACTACAAATTATTGACTCTGACTACCAGCTCACTCCAACAGATAATTTCCGTTAGCGCCTGAGTAACAAGGGGTAGGAAACGTACGAAGGAATCTTTCAAGCACTGCCTTGATCACAGTGCAGAGGCTGTAGATCAAAATGAATGGAATCTCATTGTGTTAATGCTGCTGTACCTGGAGCTGCCAAGAGGTCGAAGATATGTAACCTTCACCTTACAGAATCCAGAACTCTCTTATGTCTCACTTATTTGGCACCACTAGTCGGCTTCGCTCGATTGAAATTGAACGATTAGTCCTTTTCGTTCACTTTGGAGGCACCACAAGAAAGACTCCTTTGCGAGTTCAAAGACTACCTTACCGGACCTTATTTGGACGGACATTAAATGAACGGACATTATTATGAACGGACATTTAATATGAACGCTAGAAGGCATTCAAAACCATCAAAAATCCGAATTTTTTTCATTTCCTTGACATTTTTTTATACCAGGTCTTTAAATCCATTTTTTATACAATAGCATATAATATAAGCGACTCAATACTCAAAACTCAATATATTACATTGCAGCAGCCGACCGCAATACAGAACAGTTTTAAGTTTAACGTACAATTTTTATTTTTACATATTTTTATCTTTACGAAAACCTACTATTTATTGTTACTAAAACAATATCATATAATATAAGCATCTCAATACTCAATACTCAATATATTACATTGCAGCAGCCGACCGCAATACAGAACAGTTTTAAGGTTAACGTACAATTTTTATTTTTACATTTTATTGTTACATTTTATTGTTACGAAAACCTAATATATTATTTGTTGTTACTAAAACAATAGCATTATATATAATATATATATCGTCCCGCTTTATATATAGTAAGATAGTAAGATAATAGGATAGAATATTTTGATGTACCTTTTAAATGACTTCTGATACGACTGATTTCTCCTTAGAACACGGTGGTATTTGCTTTATCAGGGCTTAACGTTCAGTTCTGTTCCTTTTACCAGGTTTCAGTCTCACCTAACTCCGTATTCACTTTTTTTAAATCTTATTTTTATCTGATATCGATTGATAATTGATATTTGTAAAAAACGTTGAACTATTTATGTATTGTCATATTCGTATCCTATTGTTTTAATCTAAAAAAACCACCAGACCCGCAGCAATGACGAAAGTATTCTGTTTTCTACTAGTGCTAGGACTGATCGCTCTGACTCAGTGTCATCCTCATAGACCGAGAAGGCTTGGATGGGGGTTGCATGGGATGGGGGTTGGAAAACGATCAGCTGATCCCCAGTTACTGGGGCAATCGTCGGGGAAATCGGCATGGGGAAAACGATCAGCTGATTCCAGTGATGAGTGACCCCCAGGATTTTGGAAGACGATCAGCTGAACCCCAGGATTTTAGAAGACGATCACAGATCAGCTGATTCCAAGGATGTTAATGATAATTGTCTTAAAGAAATGTGTTTGTTCGTTTAATGACTATATTAGGTTTAAAAAGCTGCATTAAATATTGAGTTTTATTTCTCTTAGAGGTGCAGAATATTGCAATTTACTTTTATATCAAAAATAAAACATACTCCTATAGTAGACCCTGGTCATTAGAAACACCCCTAAAAGTTCTTTTTTTGACAGAAAATTTAAAACTTCTGTAATTTCATTTCTGTTTTAGTTACGCATTTGATTTTTAGTATGAGTATAGAAAATCGATACGGCTTTAAAATGAAATGTCCGGCGACCTCCTAGCTCACTCACGAGACTCAGTAGGAATGATTTAACTGCGAGGGACAATTGAGGCTAACGAATAAATAATAATAATAAAATTTGGTAGCTTAAACACAAAATCTAAGCCCAGTGGATAAACCACAAAACTTATGCTCTATTGTGTGAAACAAAGATACTAGGTCAAGATAATATAACTATCAAGGAGTGTATGCATAGGTCATAAAAAGTTTTGGAACGAAGATGACATGCTTATGAAGCGAGCTAACAGTCTAATTGCTAATAAGTTCAAAAATATCATGACATTAGGTTGCATCCTAAACAGTTTAAGCAAATAACATAAAGTTATACTGTCAATTAATCGCTCATGCCATAACTATTCTTGTACAGGTGAGTTTTTAATAATCTTTTGAACAGATCAACATCAGAACAAGTCTTAATTTCAATTGGTAGTTGGTTCCAGATTTTCGGATCAACAGTCTGAAACGCTCTTGGGTGAGATCTTGTAGATCCAACAGGTAGGTGTAAGGAGGAAGTTCTTCTGCTACTCGAACTAACAAATGTTAATAGATCACACAGATATGCATGGCAGGAGCAACACCATTGACTGCTTTGAAAATCAGTAAACATAACTTAAACTCAATCCTCTCCTTCACCTTGAGCCAATGAAGGGATATGAGCTTCTCCTCGACTGAGTCTCTCTTCTTTAATCCATAAACTAGACGGCATGCTCGGTTTTGAATGTTCTGCAGCTGCGCAATTGAGGCTTGACTACAACCATAGTAAAGCGCATTGCAGTAGTCAAG